AATACACACACAGAAGGACCTTCCAGTGGGCTCTTTGCTCTGAGTAGGGAAGCACTTTTGAGGGTGTACACGTGCAACTTCAAGTGAGAACTCTTGTTCTAGAGATTGACAGTTTGGCATTACTAAGAACATCAATGATGCGTCTCCCAGATCTGTTAGTACAGAAACAAAAGCTTGTTCCCGTTTGTTTGGCCTTGTACACAGGTGTCTTTCAAACTTGCAGTTCCAACTTTAAGCAACCCCCCAAACGATCAAGTTTTAGGGAAGGTAACATGTGCAGCTTTAACAGAACATGAAAAACTGCAATGGACAAAGCAAAACAAAACATCACAGGGATTTATTTTGTCCTTGTGTGCATCGACAGGTAGGTTTCGACCACATTTAAATATTAGCAGAAAAAAAAAAAAAGTAGTGTACTAGTGTACTTAACAAGGTTGCAAATAACTGGATGACAAAGGAATATCAGATGGTCATGAGTGTGAATTCAGAACAAGTATGACAATGCTCCCCAAATATCAATGTATTGATGTTTACACATTAAAAAAAATAAAGAGGAGTGTCTTGGATTATCACAATAAAGCCACACAGAATTGATGACAAAGTGATTGTATTTATCGGATTATTATGGCAGTGCTGGACAGGAACAATGACATGATTTATAAATATTATGCCAAGAACTGTCTCTTGAACAGATGCGACTACAAAGTAAAAAGCAACAAAAGATAAAATGTACCACTGACAGAAGCACCAACTTGAAGTGGTACTCAAGAGTTTGTTGCAGTAGCCTTTGAACCATTCTCTCCAAGATATCCCCTTGCTGGCTTGAGTTGGACATGACATTTAAGGCCAGGTTCTTCTGATATTCCCTAGTCCTTCCAGTATGAGGAAAGCTTAGGCTTCCAATTCCAAGCCAAGACCCAGCTTGTGGCCTCCTGCGTTGATGTTCTTTCCGTCGACCATACCAGAAAGGGTGAGTTTCACACCTGCACACAAGATGAACTCACATTAACAGTTACAACATTCCTTGCTTAAATCACATTCTGATACTTGTGAGAAAAACGTAGGCGGTTAAGTGTTTCTATAAATGTCTCTGTTATAGGTCAGTTTAGGGCTGTGCGATATGACCAAAATCTCATATCCCGATATAAGAATTCTATCGTCCTGATAACGATATAAATCACAAAAATGTAACATTTTCTGTAAATTCTGTGAATCTCGGGCAGCTCGACTTGCGGGAAGTGTTTCCAGCTGTGCTTCATGTAGCTGGAGTCGAGTGTTTTAACAGATGCATGAAACGATACATTTTTAGACATAAGTTGTAACAGCCGCCATTTTCTTTGTGAGTATTTATTACACGGCGTGCTGCGGGGAAAAGCCTGTTCTAACGTTTGAGTCTAAGGTTTATTTTTTAGCACCTGGCGGCTCTTTTTTTACTTCTCTTTTAACAGGATCTTGAGCTTTATTGTGAAAGGTTTATGTGGAACATAAACAAGCGGACACGCGATGGCGTTATCGTCGTTGTTGCTAACGACGACGCATAAAACCAGGCGCTTGTCCGTCCGTAGTGTGGTTATATTAAATATAAGAGAAAGAGAGAACTTTAAGAAATTAATATAGCCACTACAGTGACCATCAAAACAATGAAAAAATATTACCGTAAACAGTTTATTTTGCGACACCACGAAACAAACGATAGCGTAAAATGAAACGATAGACATTTTTAGATCCTCATCAGATATATATATCGTTATATCGAACAGCCCTAGGTCAGTTCATTTATTTATATATAGATCAACAAGTCTAAACTTCTGTGTGGAACAGCGTTAGATTAAAGGATACAAGATTAATATGTGTCGTAAGAATAGATGTTAATTAACTTTTCAGCAGTTGATGAACCTGTAAAAAAGCAACTCACCTGGTCTAAGGGTTTGGGTGTACCCAACACCAATAAGACTATTGTTGTTCACTTTAGCCTAAAGGGTGGGGGAGGGAAAAAAAGTATTTAAGAGTCAGTGTAAGACAATCACTTTTCCTTTTCCACGTTATTCTGAAACCCTGTGCTCAACTACTTACACTGATGGAGGCATCGTTGTCCAGCTGGTATTTGGCTGCAATACCAAAGCGTGTGCTGTTGCTGCCAGCAGTCCATGCCAGGTTGACTGCAGTCTCCAGATTGTCGCTCACCTTCTGGTAGATGGAGCCACCAAACTCAGCACCGTCATTGCTTCAAAGATCATAACACAGATTTTAGGCAACAAGAATCCAAATATGGGATTTCTTAAGAAAGTGTCAATTGACTATAACTCATATGCTTCCAATTTCTCAGAGTTAGGCAGCGGTTTTGGAACTATTTTGAAATTATTTATTATAAATTTGGGGAAAACATTTTAAAATTAAAATCCAAATGAGTAAAACATGATCTCTACTTACACATTGGTATGCAGTTGGAAGTCTCCCGTCTTGTAGCCAATGGCAAAGTTGTTGCGCGCCATTTTTGATTTGGCGGTGTCAAAGCTCATCTGGTAACCAGCGAGCCATCCCTCGTATCCAATGACAGCAGCTCCGTGGATGGTGGGGCCAGCAAAGTCAAAGTCAACATCGCAGCCCAAGTTGACGTACTCACGCTTGTAGGCAGCCTTAACTTTGCCGCTCTTCTTGCTGTTGATGAGAAAAAAAGTCAGTTTTCTAAACTAAAACTCAAATAAAAACTTTTAAATCAAGTCCAGCTGAGAGGTTACATTTCTCATAGTATAATAATAAAAACCCATTTGTCTCAGCAGTGGTGTTTAGTTTTAGCATGACACTGTAGCTGTAAACATGCTGTCTCCATGTAGCCACGTAACTCCACCCTCACTATGAAAGATGACACGCTTCCTCTGGGCCATGTTCCCTTTCCTCATGTGATTTATATACTCCAGAAAGAAAGCTTACTTGTTGTTGCCTCACCATATGAGCAGCATAGTAAAGTCCAACATATTTCTTCTAATGAAGTTCAACTAACTGCTAAAGCACATTTAAGTAAAAAGTAAAGTAAAAATAACTCAATAGGAATGACTGAGAGCCAGTCTCTGTAATGGCTTTTTAAAAAGACTACCTCCATACTCTGATTAAGGTCACATAACCAGCAACAACAACTCTCAGAAGGACATGGAGCAAAGATCTGGCTCCTATAATTACTAGTCTAAAGAAACGATGGTCATAACAAGATTCATTCATTAAGATTTCAATAAGAATTCACAGAAATTTTCATTTGATTCATCTTACCCAGTGTTTGGTGAGAAGGTTGTGTCAAAAGTCAACTTCAGTCCTTTGGCAATCTGTAAGAAACAATAATAAATCACTAATGAATGCTGTGTGGTCATCTTTAGAGTGTGTGTGTGTGTATATATATATATATATATATATATATATATTTGCTTTTCTGTGACATGTTGTTAAATAACAGCAAATGAATACATTCCTAACCTGATCTTCAACGGTGATTTCTGTTCCCAAGGTGTTGTCGGTATTCCACTTCTCAGTGAAGGTCAGGCCATATTCTGACCGCTTGTATTTAGTTTCCAGACTTCCCACGACTTTGCTGGTATCAGTGTTGGAGAACCCAGATGTTTTGAATTCCTGTAAGAGGCAATTTTAGAAAAAATGCCAACAACAAGCATAAGGACAAATTGCTTTGGCATCAAATTACCATAAGGCTGCGCTCTTATTGCAGTTTTTGGCTCACAAATAAAATGACGAAAGAAATCTTACCACTCCGCTGGCTGACTTTGTCTTGACATCAAGCTTCACCTGGCCAAATCCTTAAGGAAAGACACATTGATTTTTTTTTTCAAATTATTTTAAAGCTTTCCTACAATTTTAACACATTGGCCAAACCTTCAAAAATCAAATCATACCATAGCCTTTGTTGAAGATGTCCTTGGCAGACTTGCCCAGGTCAGCATATGAAGGAGGCACAGCCATTGTATCTGTGAACAGAATTAACATACTGTGGTACAATTATCTTAATTTTTAATAAACGAAGCTCCTTTCTGCTTGCTTTTTCACAAGTGGTCACAGTGGGTAGCTGTACTTGTGTCTGTTTATGATGTGAATGGAAACTGTACATGAATATAATAGGTAGACGTTGCTTTCACATTTTATCCCATCGAAGTGTGAAATACTGTCAGAGTCTGGAGGACATCTTCAGCATAATAATCTACTCTTTCTAAAGTTTTGACATCTGTAATGAAAACTAAGCCTTGCATTGAGGAGTTATAACCATTTCACCATCCCGCTGATGACCTGATGAGCAATGTACACTGCAGCAAAGTCAAACTTGTACTACTGTGCTCGTCAGAATACAGTCTACAACTCTATGGTGAAAGCAGCCTATCTGACTGATAAGAGGCAGCGGGCCTGGCTCTAATTAAACTACTCCTACGCATTAACTGACAGTCACAGCTAGGCGTGGCGAGGTACATGCCTGTTCCTATTAGGGAGATGTGTTACTTAAAATGATCGTTCGCTCAAGGAGTCCTCTAGTAGCATGGATAACCAACCATTCTACGTAGTGGATAACCAAAGCATAGCTAATGTTAAAGTTGTGAATGTTTTCCTAAAGTGCTTTTAAGCCACACATTTTACATTTTAGCAGCATTAAGCGCATAACAGCAAAACTGGCCAGTATTCCACGCGACATGTGTCAGGCGCAGCTAAAGCTAGCAGCTAACTTTGCTAGCCTGGAGAGTGCCGGTGTGTGTCAAGCGCTTCACAACTGATTAATCCGTGCTGTGAAGAAGAATAACATCGTAAGCCTAAATTAAGGAGTCTCTTACCAGTGGAAGATGATGCTAGCGGCGTAGGAAAGTGGTTTTTATTACAAATATTCCTCACAACGCAAAACCGAGGAAGGCGTCACCGGTTGGAGGGCGAGCTGAAGGAGACTTACTGCAACCAAATCCTGACCTATCACGTCGTAGCTCAGGACCCCAGGCAGCCACAAGGATGCCTGGGTAAAATCAAACTTGCGTCATTCTCGCGGGCAACCTACTTGTTTTGGGGCCTAGTTGCCACAAAGTATGAAAGCAAATTTTGGAATGGTTCCTATTTTCGTACACGTCTAAGTAGCAAAAAAGAATCGTAGTGCGAGTTGTTTTGTGTAATTTAAATACTTTTGCGATGCAAAATCTGAAAGGAAGTTTAACGGTATGTTTCTTTGTTTCCTTTTGTACGTAGCCTGTCAGTGCTAAAGGAAGTTAGCTAGCTCGAGCGACTGATTTTTAGCTTTTAATTGCTTCTGCTCACAAAAAGGACCAGACCTTTGTGATTTTTAAGGTGGATATTCGGGATACAACAACAGGTAAGTCTGTGTGCTTGGTTATAAGAACAATCGTGATCGTTAGGTTAACTTTCAGCCGTAAAAAGGAACAGTTAAGCTAACGGCATTTGTTGTACTAAAGAAAAGCTAACGGAAAGAAGTCAAAACACACGTGAACGCGTTTATTAAACGGCCGTGTTAACTGACTCATTTTTTCCTGCATTCATGTCTTTATTTTCTACAGTACATGTAGTATTTTTCCCCGGTTAAGCTGTGTGTGTGTGTGTGTGTTTGTTTGTTTGGTTTTTTTTATAAAGTGGCGTAGTTATTTTTTATCGTGTTACTAGAAAACCATACAAGAGAACCCCAAGGTGCTCATAATAAACTCTTGTGTCAGGTAGTCTATTTATTTTGTCATTTATTCAGTCCTGGGTCCTGGGCCCAGACCGACCACATGTACTACACCACCTCCTTCAGGTCACCTGGGGCAATACCGGGTCAGGCTAGAGATGTAATTAGGAGCTTGTGGGTCTACCTTCGAGGGCACTTCCTGGTTGGATATGCCCAGATCACCTCATCCAGGAGGGGAACTGGTTAGATGCCTGAACCACTTTAACTGGTGCCTTTTGGTGCGAAAGAGTAGTGGCCCTACTGTCCCTGTTGAAAGGATGAGGAGTTCAGTCGTTTGCAAAGGGAAAGTCCAGCTGACCTTTGGGGATATCAAAGTTCACTACTCACATCTCGTGACCATAGGTGAAGGTATGGTCATAGATAGTGAATTGACAGCTTTGCGTCTATGCTGTGCTCTCTCTTCACCACGCCAATACAGAATCCGCAACACTGCAGAAGTTACCCTAATTGTCAATAAGACCCCAAAATATTTAAACTTCTCCCCTTGGGGCAGCAACTCGTCTGCTTACACTTATCTTTGTACAGAAGCTTTAATAAATGACTGAAAGCTCCAATGTTTGATTTTTGTTATAGTGGCCATGGCTATGATTATGACTGTGGATCAGTTGGAGACGAAAACATTGTTACTTCAGGAGTCCTTGAAGACAGAAGAAAACCTGTTGGATTATGAATGTGAGGAGTCCTTGAAGACAGAAGAAAACCTGTTGGATTATGAATGTGAGGATGAAAGTAAGTATGTTGTTGTTATATGACTTTGAGCCTTCCACTTGACCATTTGCCAAAAAAAATTCATAGTCCAGAGTTTGGACTTATCCTTGCTTCGGACTGCTCCCAGCCAGACCTAATGGGCCAAGGGCCGACCACCAGGCACACACCTCCCCTGAACTATTCCCTAGATTATTCACTCATAAGGGTCTTTTGACTCTCTCTTTGTCTGGTCCCTCACCAGTCCCATGAGAGTAAATCAAAACTCTCGATTTGCAAATGTAGTCACAAGCTAAAATACTAAAATATATTTGGAAAGAACTACACCGAGGCGAGGTGTAGTGCATGTAGTATGATGAACATGCCCAAAAAAAAAGGAAATCAGGAAAGATGCAAACGCTTTTTCACATCACTGTACAAAATCATTGCTTTAAAATTTTAGTTTCATATATCATGTAATTTTCAAGCTATAGATCTGAAAAATGTTCTTTCGACTTCCATCCAGCATGTTTGCTTGCCCTTCAAAGTCTGAGACAATGTTTAAATATGAATATCTAAAAAAAACTGTTAAAGATAAGCACCTGAAATTGTCTTTAATGTCTCTTATCATAAAACGAATCAGGATCTGTAAATTGGGACAGAGGTATCAAAAGTGTATATTGTATGTAGTTGTATTTAATGGTAATGCAAAATAAAACGCACAAAATGTATTGTGACATGAAATTCTTAGTAACGGGATTGGAGATGAAATGACCCATGTATTGTACTAGTGACCAAAAATCTCATCCATGTCCACATGGTATCTTAAGCTTTTTATTGAACAATAAAATGAGTATTTAAAAAATAAGTTATCAAAAGTTTCTTATTAATTTAACATCTAATTAGACTGCAACATAAACATAATGTTTGTTTTAGTTTTGCTTTTGTATTTTTTTTTGTCTTAATTGCACATCACATTTTACACTTGTGTTTTTCTTTGCAGAACATATGTTTGAGCCTCCAAATGACTCAGTTTGCTGTGTAAATGAAACTGCCAGAAAGAGGAAACTATGCCAAAACGGCTTGGACTGTCCCAGACCATTTAAAAAGCCAGTGGTAGTGTTGACTAGACTTCCTGAATATAAGGTGAGGTCTCTGCGACCACCAACGCCTCAGCAGTTCTACAGTGAAGATGAGTCTCTCAGCAGCTCTGATTCTGATATGCAGTGGGAGCCAGAAGTTGATTCCAGTGATTCAGATTTTTCACCCTCCAACAATACACAGAAACCTGCAAGAATGAACAAATGCAGTGAGAGCGACAGAACACCACCACCTGCTTCACCTCCGAGCACCAGCACCAATGGTAAGGTCGCAGACGCCATAAAATTAGCGTAACTTCTCTTTACAGATGAACAGCAGTGGTTTAAAGAATTTTAAACATTTGTGTTCTCCCCACCCCCACAGCGGCAGATGTGGCTCCTGTTATAATATCATCAGTGTTTGGCCATTCCTCCAAGGAAATAATAACTGCCCGACCTGAGGCACAGAAGGATGAACTCAAATTGAACATGGTAGTTCTGGCTAGGAGAAGACCTATGAGGTGGCAACGGGGGAAAATAGTCGAGATAGTTACAAGGGGTAAGAGAAAATTCTGCCAGATATTACAGTAATGTTTGAAAGAATTCATGTATTGAAAAAAGTTGATTCAAAATCCTGGATTAGAAAAGGCTGAAAGTAATTGATAACTGTTAATTGTATTTAGTTTCAGATGATCTAGAGATTTGAAATATCTTCTGATGTGTTTTGTTCTTTTCTCTCTTCTCTGTTTTTGTGAATGCTTTTGAGGTTTTTACTCTAGGACCAGCAAAAATGCGATTCATCTTATGCTCAGTAGAAATTGAAAGCTTTTTTTTTTTTCCTTGTCACAGCGTCATTTTCCTTAGACATAAGAACAACACTGCACATTAATGGCAGTGAATGAGTTTGGAAAAGACAATTTTTGTATATTTTGTTTTTCTGGTGGCTGGGTATATGTAAGGCACCACTACCACCAGAAGGTGGAAGCAGTGCACCTGAAATTTGTTTGCCTGTCCTTAAATAGGAAAAGTAAAGTGCATTTGCTGTCATTTGACTGATTTTAAAAACATGTGACATGATGAGATTAGATGCCAGGTGAAGCAAGGTAGGCAGAGTGAGCTGAGTGCAGAAAGAAATTTCAAAGTTTTGCTTTTCTGAAAATATTTTTTTAAGAGAGAGATGATAAACTAAAATAAATTGATAAAACTGAAGTGAAAATTGGTCTCTTTTTCCCCCCTCTTTTTGCAGAAGACGGACGGTTAAAATACAAAGTCAGTTTTGAAGAAAAAGGGAAGAGTCTAGTATCTGGACACCACGTTGCTTTTGACACCACAGCAAAGGTGGAGCAGCTGTATGTTGGTGCCCGTGTGGTGATTCAGTGTCAAGATAACAAGTACCGGTTCCAGCCTGGTGTCGTAGGCGAGCTCCCCAGCAGAAAGAACCGCCTAAGGTGTTTATTTCAATTTTATGATTAAAATTGCTAGAAAACTTGTGTACCCTTTTGGCCATGGTTAACCCAATGAATTTATAGCGTGCTGTGCAATCAGATTTGACTGTTTAGCCAAGATTTTCTGTTAGGAACTGCTAACGCTGGAAGTTTGACTTGATGCTAACACATTTTACAATTCCAGGTTCTTGATCTTTTTGGATGATCACACGCCGGTCTATGTTGGGTTACCTTTAATTCATTTGGTTTGGAAACCTTGTAAGTTGAATTGTTTTTATACTTTGGGGGGGGGGGTTCATATTCATATACTCAGAAATCCTGTCAAGTGTTTTTATTTACTGACTGTACAGCTCTTAGACACATAAAATGAGTAACCAACTTTTTCTTTCTTCTTTTTTAATTTTGTTTCAAAGTGGAAAACGTGGCAGATGACATTCCAGAGGGCCCTCACAAAGACTTCATAGAACATTACCTGAATAAGTGGCCGTACCCTCAGTTAACCCAGTACAGGCTTGGACAGACCCTTAATGCTGAATTGAACGGAGTCCTGCAAAAGTGTGAAGTGCAGATTATTGACTGCAGCTTAATGCAGGTTATCTTTCAGGTCAGTATTTCATTTATCTTTTAGTTTAAAAAATTTTATATTTGATTTTCAGCTGAATTTTATAACATTTATGAATCTAGAACAATACTAACACAAAGCATTCACAGGTAATTTTTTTAAGGTAAATTTAAGTTTTATACAAGATATAATAGATAAAGTTGAGACACTGACACTGCTTTATGGAGACTGAGTGGCTCCAGTCACACAGGCCTAGAGATCGGTCGATGATTTAGCAACCGCTGATCGCTAGGAAAAAGCATGTATTCCCCAACCAGTTGGCAGATGGTTGCTGGCAGGCTGTGAAATCAATTGCTTTAACTCTGATCTTGCAGGCTTAGAAACTGTTCTTTGATTCGCTAAAGAGAGATGTGTATTCTGCAGCTGGTTGGTGAGTGGTTTCTGGAGGTTGCTAGATGAAATTGGTCACCCTATCCTTGGATTTGCAAAGATGCTGTAGTCGCCAGTAGTTTGCATGGAAGATGCAAACACTGTCCAACTATTCAAACATGGGAAAAACTGGGTCTGTGTTCTCTTTCAAAGCAAAAGTTCAAGTTTAAGAGAATTTGTTGAAAATATTTAGTTAGTGTCTTAGTGGAAAAATATTTGATGTTTGTGGCATCTGCTTGTAGATGGTTGGCACATTCTTACAAACATCTGCATCAATATGCTTTTTTTTAAGGCAGAAATAAAAGAATTCATCACTGCCGTAGGCTATACTTGTATTGCTATTTCAATTTCTTATATACATAGAAACTTAAAATTGATGCCATAGGTGCATCTGCTAAAAATCAGTGACAAATAAGAATCTTAGTGACCACTAGCTAAAGGGCAGAGGTGAAGTTTTCAGAAAATCACATGAATTAGATGACTTGAAAATAAGGCGAAGTAGGATTTTGAAATTGATAGCATAGTTGCATCTACTAGGATCTGATGTGTAGCATGAGTAGCTGCTGGTTCTTTTCCTTTAATTACTTACTTAGTTGCTTTATTAATTAAGTCTTTTTCTCATAGGAGAGTGAACATAAGGAGTGGATATACCGAGGTTCGTCACGACTGGAGCACATGGCAAAGTTTTTGGAGATGAAACACAGAGAACAGCTTGAGTGCGACTCTGACTGAACGTCCCCTGATGCAGTAGCTGCAAAAATTGAAACTATTTTACAATCGGACGAGATGCCATTTTTTTTTTTAAAAAAAAAAAATTTTGGTTTTTTTTTTTAAAATTTTTTTTTTTTTTGCGAGAAGCAGCACAGTAACAAATGAGTGTGATGGTACAAGCATACTCACACTCATTTTAAGCTGTTCCAGCTTGAAACAGGTTTTATTTCTCCTTTTTTTTTTTTGTATTTACTTTTAATGTACAGACTTGAAGAAATATATATATATGTAGTTGGTGAATTAATGCATTTCCAAATGTTTGTCCAACATAAACAAATTACCCAATAATCGTTTTGAATTTTGACTCGTCCTTTTTTTTTTTTTTTTTTTTTTTTTTTTTTTTTTTTAAAAAAACCACACTGATATATCATTGAAACCGCTGAGACGGATAAACATTGTGTAACTTGGTTTCAGATATTCCCCCCCCCCCTCCATATTATTTTATCCTGTAGATGTCTAAAGTAAAAAAAAACAAAACAGATTTTCATAGTGAGAATTTTGAAGGAATGGAGATTGTGCTTTGAAGCATTAGTTAAAATGTGTTAGTTTTAATGCTTGCTCACATTTTCAGTGACTGTTTTCACACAGGAGAATTTTCTGAGGAAGTTCTGACATCACGCCCTTTTTCTTGCTACTTTTCAACTCCATAACTCAGGAACTGAATTGGATACTCATGGGTGAAGCAGTTCGTGTCTGCCCACCATAATAGTGTAATTTTTCTGTTCTGCCACATTGAAAGGGCGTATGCAGATTTCTGTGAATAGTATTGACTGTTTAGCCACCAAAATAAACCAGTTGCCTAATGTTGTGTTTATCCTCCTTGTTCCACCTTCCAAAGCTGTAAATAGTTTCTGAGTCCTGTAGTTTTCTCTTGTCTTGTTGCATGTAGTGGGGCTCACACTTTGAGATGGGGTGAGGAGTTGTGCAATTTGTAAAAGGCTCAGCTCCTCTGTGTGAAAAGATGCTTCCTGGATGTGTCCCAGGAGAGCTGTTCTGGTCTTTTTACTGGGAAAAAAAAAAACCCATAGGGGCAGTAGAAGAAGGGTGGATGGAAATCAAACAAAAGCCAGAATCACTATGTGGCATGAAGGTTGTTTTACTTAAAAATTGGCACATTTTGTAATACAATAAAGATGAAGCTACAATGAACATAGAAGTTAATGAATGCTGATGACATACTGTAATGATGACAATAATTAACATGCAATTGTATCGTCCTAATATTATGGACTACATCTAAAACAAACAAATTATGGAAAATGAAATATATTTTATTTTTAGATTGTAACAGTATCACTTAAAAGTAAAGAAAAAAATCAATTGACCTATACTGTACAAAAAATAAAAAGCTTCTGAAAAGCACTTGTATATAATATATAAAAATATATATGACATATATATCACTAATTCAGCCTATCTATGATTACAATAGCACTAGTAAATGGTTGGTAAGTGCTGTGTCAGTTACAAAAGAGAAATACATTGATTTCTTTTAAAAAATAATTTCCTGAGTATGGCTACTAACCACTGAGTTACTATTGAGCTTTTAAGATCTCAGTTTTTGTGTCCAATCCCTATAGAAGCTTGTTTCCACCATTAAAAAAATGTTATCCATAAGTTACATTTCCAGGCTGTCTCAAAAATTTGGCTTGCTCAGAAGTTTGAGCCAGTGACTTGAAATTTTGAGATAATAACCCAGATATTTGACTTGCCTCTGGGCAAATTTATTATTATTATTTTCATACAAGCGCTGCTGCATGCCTCAGTGTGAGGGAAGCACAGATCATCCCGAGTAGAATAAATAACTGGTTTCCTGCATGTTTGCACAGACGTTTGTTCTGTAGTTACCTAGTTTTTAGTCTCTGATCAGGGAATGTGACCTGAACTGAGAAATATGGTAAAAAATAAAATAAAATTTGATGCCTGAAACACGTCAACTGGGCTGTAGTTAGCAAACAAAGCACAAACTGACAAATTGTTATAACTCATTTTAAACCATCCAATAATGAGGTGCCTTGAGCTTGGTAGTCAGCCAAAGTGCTGTATGTAACATCTTCTGCGCCTCTTTCAGTCTGTGGGAGAACAGAAGCAAAGATGAGAGTTAGGCAGAATGAGTAAAGATGAGCTAGACCAGAGGATACTGCAACATCAGCTCTTGGAATGCATGCTTAAGTAAGCATGTGATGCTTAAACTAAAGAGAGAACTATACAGTGTTTATATGTTATGGTCACTTTATTTACCATCTAAATTCAGCATTCATACATGCCAGCATTTGTTAACACTAAACAGCTGATGGCAATGCAAATGCTTTTGCCAGCCCTGATCACAAATTACTAAAAAGGTTTAATCTGATCTAGATGAAAAGAGGAATTATTACCTTTTAGGCTACAGAGAAAAGTATTCAGTCATCTAACTATTTAATATTTCAGTCTAAACTGCATCAATCTATCAATCGTTTGTTGTAAGATTCAGATAATTATTTTTTAAAAGCTAGACATTTTAAATGAGAATAAGAAAGAAAAGTATTTCTTTGTGCCCCCCTTTCCCTGTTAATGCCCTACATGCCCCCTGGCAACACTTTGCTAGATCCGCCACCTGCACAGTTACCAGCTGTCAGCTACCTAAAAAAGGATCCTGGTGTTATTTGTCTCTCAGAAACAGTTCATAACTTCCCTTCAACTCATTCATGTCACCTAAAAGGTAAACCTGTTTCTCCATCACCTGTTCAGCTCTGATGATTCAGTAAGGACATCTCCTGGTTTCATCTTCATGTTTCCCTCTCACCAGATAACCAAACCATATCATGACCAGCAGCTTTACAGCTGTGGCTCCAGCAAACATCAGCTGATACTAGAAATTAATATTAAATAAATTCTAACAACAGCTGATCAAGCTTAAACGTGCTGCTGTTGTTTAGCGCGACATCCGCTGGTTTCCTCTTTCGGCGCAAAGTGAGCGATAAACAAACAAGAGAGCCGATCAGCTGATCATTGATCAGTTTCATGATTGAAGTAGAAACGGGAGAGGGAGGGGGGAGAATGAGAGAAGAAGAGGCAGCTGTGCAGCGAAACACAGAATAACTCCAGCTTTGTGCCTTTTTCATTGTAGCTGAATTACGGGACAAACTGTTCCTTTTCACCTCAATAAGAAACGCGTAATATTTTCTCTGAATACCAGACGGGACGGTTGGCAACTCTAATAACTTATGAACAAAATAAAGTTCAACATCATTAACTTCATAGCACCACCCAGCTGTATAGAAACTCCGTCATGCTAGCTAGCACGCAGTACGGAAAAAGTCAGAATAACGAAAATAAACTCCACCTAAACTTGGTTCATATCTGACCCAGAGAGACTGCAGGTCATAACTTCTTACCTGAAGTTCAGTTCACACTTGGACCGGCGGCCGCCTCGGGTCTCTTTTCCTTCTGCGTCCCTTTCCTTCATCCACCTGCTGGCCTCCACCACTTGCTAATGTTACTGAATCTGTGGAAGCTCCGCGATAGCCACCACACGAAGTAACGAGTAACGACCCTATCTAAATCCCAGTAACGAGTAACGCGTTCCTGATTTTGGCATAATAACTAGTTACCGTGCTCGTTACCACAATAATAACGTAGTTACTGTAACGCGTTACTTAATAACGCGTTAGTCCCAACACTGCTTATGAATGACTTTTAGTGCAACTGATAAACAAGCGAGTGTCTGCATTCTTTAAGCTTTGATCCTTTTCACAGTAGTGCTACTGATATAGCACTGAAGATTTAGAGTTGAACGTGTTGCTAATATTTACAGTATTTGGTCTGAATTAAAGCAGTTAAAGCAGTGGTCTAGCCACCAGACACACTAAGACTGAGCCATGCTGTTTGTGTGGTGACGATGTAAAAAAAGAACATAAGTTTTAATGTCTGAGAAACATTGTGATACGGAGCTCTTATAACGCACCCTTTGTGTGGTTTGTTGAGTCATAAAAAACACAGAGCTGTATGTCACAGCCACGTCGCATTTAGCAGTGAAACTCTGAGAAAGAAAGAAGAGCCAGATATGAAACAGATCAAAACAGACTTTAAACCTTTTTTTATCCAATTACAAGCACGTGTAGTAAAATAAATTACTTGCGTGTAACATTATGTTTGTGAATGTTTATGGCTGTCACTTCTGAACTTTTCTTACATACACTGTTCACTGTATCTTAGTCCTTCTGATAACTGATATCAATATAATATTTTAAAGAGGAACTTTTTTTAACAGTGTGCACTAGACCAAATGTGGCAATTTACTAAGGTTGAGACACTTCACATGAATAGTTCCCTTTCAAGGGGAATATGTGGACGAAGAAGTTAGAGTATGAGATAAGATGTTTTCTCCTTAAAGTTTATTAGCATTTTAAGACTTCCTATCACATTCAAATATTAAATATACATAAATGTGATGGAAGATATGTATTTTAAAAAATGGAATATGAAATGTGTTTTACCCAATACAGCTATTAGATGTGTTTTCTTTGTATATCCTTTTTCAAGGGGCAACATCTGTGAATATTTATCAGTCCTATGATCTATAATAATTATTGGACAAAATCTCCAAACAGAACATACAAGTTATTAGTTATTATTAACGTTATTAGTAAGTACACTGAACAAAAATATAAACGCAACACTTTTGTTTTTGCTCCCATTCCCCATGGGATGGACGTAGAGACCTAAAATTCATTCCAGATACACAATATAACCATCCCTCCCAAACAGTGGTCACAAATCAGTCCAAATGTGTGGTAGTGGGCACATCTGCTATATTGAGATAATCCATCCCACCTCACAGGTGTGCCACATCAGGATGCTGATCTGACATCATGAGTAGTGCACAGGTGTACCTCAGACTGCCCACAACAAAAGGCCACCCTGGAATGTGCAGTTTTGTCTCACAGCAAAATGCCACAGATGCCACAAGCAATGAGGGAGCGTGCAATTGGCATGCTGACAGCAGGAATGTCAACCAGATCTGTCGCCCGTGCATTGAATGTTCATTTCTCAACCATAAGCCGTCTCCACAGGCGTTTCAGAGAATATGGCAGCACATCCAACCGGCCTCACAACCGCAGACCTCGTGTAACCACACCAGCCCAGGACCTCCACATCCAGCAGGTTCACCTCCAAGATCGTCTGAGACCAGCCACCCAGACAGCTGCTGGAACAATTGGTTTGCACAACCAAACAATTTCTGCACAAACTGTCAGAAACCGTCTCAGGGACGCTCAACTGCATGCCCGTCGTCCTCATCGGGGTCTTGACCTGACTCCAGCTCGTCGCCGTAACAGACTTGTGTGGGCAAATGCTCACATTCGATGGCGTCTGGCACGTTGGAGAGGTGTGCGCTTCACGGATGAATCATGGTTCACATTGTTCAGGGCAGATGGCAGCTGAGAATGTCCCAGTTCTTGCATGGCCAGCATACTCACCGGACATGTCACCCATTGAGCATGTTCGGGATGTGCTTGACCGGCGTATACGACAGCGTGTACCAGTTCCCACGAATATCCAACAACCTCGCACAGCCATTGAAGTGGAGTGGACCAACATTCCACAGGCCACAATTGACAATCTGATAGACTCCATGCGACGATGTGTTGCACTGCATGAGGCAAATGGTGGTCACACCAGATACTGACCGGTTCTGGGTCCCCAGACCCCCAATAGCGCAAAAAACTGCACATTCCAGGGTGGCCTTTTGTTGTGGGCAGTCTGAGGTACACCTGTGCACTACTCATGATGTCAGATCAGCATCCTGATGTGGCACACCTGTGAGGTGGGATGGATTATCTCAATATAGCAGATGTGCCCACTACCACACATTTGGACTGATTTGTGACCACTGTTTGGGAGGGATGGTTATATTGTGTATCTGGAATGAATTTTAGGTCTCTACGTCCATCCCATGGGGAATGGGAGCAGTAACAAAGGTGTTGCGTTTATATTTTTGTTGAGTGTATATCACACATGGAAGCAGAGCAACAGTAAAGTGTAATGTTATTTTTAAATTTACACTCCATACTCTAGCTGGTGTGAAACACATGAAAAATATGATTTCCCACTTCGCTTTACAGTGCCAGTAACAACCGT